GCATCCGGCCTGCACCCAGCACCGAAGGGATTGCCACGGCCTAGGATGTGTGGGGTAGGGGTAGTTTCTCTCTGCAGCCCCAGAATCTCTGCTGCTACAAGCTACTAGGCGGGTGGTAGTTTTCGATGTAGCCCTGGCATGGCACAAAGACTGCCTCTCTTCTAAAGAAGGCCTTCTTCTACGGCCGACCCTGCCCTTGTTCCTGTCTCTAGTCTGTGGGAACCTTCAGGGCAAAGAGGGGTGCAGCTGGGCCTCACCAGCCGGACCTTCTTTGGCTCCGACTAGCGATGTTATTGAGACTCTTTCCATTGCCCTCAACTCGAAGCTTGGAGCAGGCATCTACCTGGTGGGGGAGCAGTCTTGCTACTGAGTTGGTAGGGAAGGAGTAAAAAATTCACCCCATTGGAGGACACCTAATCTGACCCTTTCCACTCTGATCCCAGCCTGAATGCATTCTAAGTTCCAGTCTCTCCAGAACCTGCAGTGAATAGGAGAAAGAGACTCTCTTGGGGGAGGGAGAGGAAGAGGGAGGCCTTGACTCTGACAGTAGGCCGAGGTCTTTTAGGTTAGGCTTGTGTTGTACCTCAGGGCCCCCGGCAACAATGACCCAGATATCCTTCCTACCTCCCCGGCTCACCCACCTGGCCAGCCGGGGCCCCAGGAAATCAAGATCAACTTGAGTCAGTTGGGTTTTAAGGATATGAGGGGAGAGGATGGTCCCTCTGCCACCAAACGCCTCTGCTTACCAGAGAAATGCTCAGGCTTAGCTTAACATTACCTGCTACCCCGTGTCCCTGGAGCGCACTGGCTTAGAAGCACATCCATTTACGCAGAAACAGACTGTCCACCTCATCACACCGGCAAGTTTTTCACCCCATTGCACTCACACATTCTCTTGCCTTCTCATATCCTACTGCATCTTTACACACTGGTCCCCTTCCAGTGTTCCTAGGCAGCTGTGAACACCCAGGGGCCAAAGTTAGAGTGGTGGGATGGAGAAAACAACAAAAAGGGCCAGTCTGTATCCCAATTCCTCCTAGGTCCTTTTCCAGCTGCCTTTCAACACAACACTATCACTCTTTTCCTTTCTGGAGCCCCGGCAGCATCCAGGTAAGAGGTGGGCACTGGTGGAGACATGGATGCTGAATCCCCTTCCTCTGTCTCTAGCGCCTCCACTCCACTGGCCACAATGGTGTTTTCCATAGGACTGGGGAAAACCAAGGACTGAGTTACTGGATGTTTTCTCCCCAGATTCGCTGGCTCTGTTTAACCTTTTCTTGCATGGTGCACAGCCACCACCTGCTCCCCAGGTGGATCTGCCATTTCCTCAGGTGGGCTTGGAATTAGGGACACCAGGGTCCAGGCCTGACCCAAGTACTGGAAAGGGCCTCTCCCGGCTCCTCCCCCACCCCCAGCTCAGGGCCTGGAAGGAAACTGATGAGGAAGATTGGGTGTCCCCATAGTCTACCCTGCTCTCAGCATCTTTCAGTTTTTATACCCCCAAGCAGATGAGTCAGTCAGCTGCCCTGGAAGTCAATGTTCTTCTACCTTCCTTGTTAGGTTAGCAATGTGGGCTGCTGCCTCAGTATGGGACCTGGCTGGGAGCAAAAGAAAGACAAACGCCTTCAGGGATGCAGAAAAGGAAACTCAGTGGATGCATGCATCCCGTGGGGTCCCATCTGGGCTTGGATGGCCACTGAGAGGTGGGAATGGGGGGGCAGGTGATAAGTCACTGGCACTCTGGTGGACTCTGATGGGGAGTGTATTCACCTGGCCACATCTGTGCAAAAGCTAAGAGCTTTGGAATGTTCTGGTGGGGGCCACATGCTCTCCCTCGATCTAGTGCAGTGTGGACCAGAGGACCGGCTTGTATAGATTGTACCGGGCGAGTAGATGCTCGGGTGTATTTTCAGAACTTCTGCATTTGCCCCATTTGAAAAATATTCTCGGGCTTAGCTTTCCAAAGGGAGGGAAAGACGAAACTGCAACAAGTAGCGCTGCGGTGCTGGGTTGGCTTTACGGAGCAGCGCTCCGGGACAGGTGCTCGCCCCCTACCGGCGAGCGAGGGCTCCCGGCAAACTTCTGCGGATCTCGCCTGCGCCCTGCAGAGAAGGTGCCGCAGGGGGAACCCTCGCCCGCTGCCGCCTCAGGAGCCTAGGACCATTTCTTTTGGGGGGACTTAGCCACTGGGCGTCCGGGCCAGCTGTGCTGCAAATCAGGGCGCTAGATCCAGCGGGTCGATGGGCTGAGAATGGCTGCTGGCACCCGGGAGAGCCGTGCTTCAGGGAGAAGCGTGAGGCGTATTTGTGCGTGAGCGCGCATATGTGGAGAGGCTCGCTTGTGCAGGTAGCTGCGGCAGACAGCCCACGAGAACGCATTTGTTTTGCCCCAGGACAGTAGTGTGTCTGAAAATGGGTTGAAGGTCTATGTGTGTGTTTGTGTGTGTGTGTCAACATGTGTGACCGTCTGTGTGTTTTGTTGTGCGGTCACTATCTCCGAGGGAGTGAGAGGGTTTTTGGTGCCATCCACGGTGCCTGACACATAACCGTTGCTCAGTACTTGTGAATCAAATTGTAACTGTGATTCTGCGTGTCCTTGTGAAAGTTGGTGTATAGCGCCTGTGTGAGTCTGGAAAATAGGGGTGATACGGCCTCCGGGGGCTGATGTTTTCCCTGTTTCCCCAGAAGTAAGCCTGGTCCTGTTCTGCTGGGGTTGGGCTGACTCCCGGCAGCGTCAGGCAGTTTTGAGCGCCTCAGGACCCCGAGGCCGAGGCCGTAAGGACCCTTTACCCCGCCAGTCTTCAGAGGTCCGACCACTGGGGTCTGTCCTAAAAGCGCAGACCAGAGCTCAGGCGGCCTCCCTCACGGGTGCTTGGTGCTGCCCCAGGCAGAGGATTATAGTCACTCTGCGATCTTAGCCTCCGCGAATTCCCTTCACCTCCAGATTAGCACACAACGAAGGTAGGTGTAGCTTCCCAGCCAAGTTAGCCCGCCCAGCCGCCCGCCGGATCCTTGGTACTTGGAAAGTCCGCACGAAAGGGTCTTTGTGGTCGCTGATTTCACCAGAGAGGAACGTCCTTGGCGATCTCCACACTGTAAGATCTCGGACGCCTCATGCCCCCTAGTCCTTCTGGTTAGGGCCAGCACATTTGGTCTCTAAATCCTGGCCCCGGAGGAGGGATATATTCGGTCCTACAGCCTGGCGACCTGACACAGAAAAGCCCCTCCAGAAGGCGCTCTGCCTACTCAGAATCTGCCTTGACCTGCCCAAAAGAGCCACCATGTGGGATCGTCCAGAGGGGAGGGGGTGCGACAGGTTAATGTACAATCCCAAAGGCCCCTAGGAACACACGACCTGCAGAGGTTCCCCTTTGGCTTGACCAGCCAGGCCCAGTACCCTCTTGCTCCCATTTAGATCTAGGGCCCCACCGACTAGCTTCCCCAAGTCTCTGACTTTCCTGCACCCCACCCCTCATCTCCACTCCAAATCCACAGATTTCTGAGCCTGGAAATCTTTGCTCCACCACCATATCTGTGGCCTGGGCAGCGAGGGTGGATCGGAAGTTGCCCGTGGGACCTGGAGTCTGCCCAGTGCTTAGTGCTTGGTTCTGCAGAATGTGAACACGCCAGAGTCAGTCTTTCAGGAAACCTGCACCTCCTGATTTGTTCCCCAGTCCTGGTATCTCCAAACACAAGTCACATGCACCCATGCTCCACACACAGCCTCTCACTTCCCACCCCCATCTCAGAGGTGGAGAAAGGGGGCACTGTTCAGTGGCCGTTGGCTGGAAAGGAGTCTCCAAAAGGAGCAGGCCACCCCTCCCCGGTTCTTCAGTGAGCTTTTCTGACAAGAAGAGGGACAGGTGGCTACGGGCCAGGTTTCAGAGTTTTCGGTCCTTCCCCTGGAGACTGATAAGCATTCTAATTCTAGGACTGAAGCTCCTGATTTCGGGGACTCACTCAGGCACCACTGCCTAGAACGGTCCACCCAGGGTGTCGAGTCCCTGTAGGGAAATCAGACACACTGCACTCCCGGCTAGCGGGCTTGTGTTATATATCCATATATATATATTTATGATTTCTAATTTTATTATAAAATAAAAGCAGAAATATTTCCCGAAGAAGAACATTCACATGAGGGCATGACAGGGAGACGGCAAGTCCAAGGCTCGGGAGGCACGCTCTGCTAGAAGCATTGTGGTCACGGTCCCGGGAGCAAGAGGGGAGCGCATGTTGGGGCCTCAGAGAGAGACAGATAGACAGACAGACACAGAGAGAGACAGAGACACAGAGAAAGATGCAAGTGGCAGGGGCTGCGGCGGCCCTTTCTGTTTCACTTTAGTTACTAGGGCAAAGCTGACACCTGCAGCACTGCTGACCCTGACGAGGGCTTCTGGATGAGGCCTGGGTTCACAGGCCCTGTCTTTCCTTTGCTCTGCTCTCTCCACCGCTGCCCCAGGAAAGTGAGAGATGAAGGAGGGCAATTAGAGGGCCAGGCAGGAGGAGAGAGACGGAGGGGTACAGATCCACGGGCCAGGAGTGCCAAGAGGTGGCAGGGAGAAGGACAGATGAATAGAAACTTTGTGAGAGAAGCCAGAACTACGAAAGAGCAACAGAGACAAAGGAAAGGTGGCAAGCAAGAAGGGGAGAAAGGAGAAAAGGAAGGGAAAAGAAGAGGAAGAGCGAGCCAGGAAGGCGAGGGAAGAGAGGAGAGAAATAGGGTGAGTGTGAGAATTGTGTATAATTTATTCCCTTCCCTGGTTCAAGACCGGGTCAAACGCCTCCAAAGGATCTCAAAAAGCAACTTGTTGAAAATAAATGCCAAACAAAGACCAAACCAGAGAGTCAACCGCCCTGCCTGTGGCCGGCGGTTCTGCCTGCTCAGCCTGCGGGTTTGTCAGTACCTGGTGGGGCCGCCCGCGCTGGGCGCCCTCCCGACATTGTCTCTTTTAGGTCCGGAGAGCCACGCCCGACGGCACGCGCTCCGAGGCCGGCGGGACTCTAGGAGCCCAGGTCCACGAGGTTGGCCGACATGGGGTTGAGGATGGAGTCCTGCAGGCCGTGGTGGTGCTGCAGCGGGTCCGCGCCCCCTCCGCCCGGCACGGGCACGGGCACGGCGCTGGGGCCGGGGGGATGGCCCAGGCTGTGCAGGGACGGCAGCCCGGGCGGCGGCGGGCTGAGCAGCAGCGCGGGGCTGGACGACGAGTGGTCTGGAGTCCCCGACGGCGTCTTCTCGTCCTCCGAGCTGCCTAGCACCGATTTGCCGCTGCCGTTTAGCGACGCAGCCAGCGGGTTGTGGCTGTTGGAGTTGGAGTTCTCGCTGTTCTCCCTGCAAGTGCAGGAGCAAAGCAGCCGGGTCAGCGGGGAAACCGAGGCTGCGGAGCCTGGAGCCAGAGCTTGCCGCCAGCCTGAGTCAGAGCAGCCTTTGCGCACTGCCTGCCGCTCTTTTCAGTTTCTACCATTTCCTCGACCTGGTCTGGGGGTCTCCTTCCTGCCAGTTCTCACAATCTCACAGAATCTGATTTCTCTGGCCTGTCTCCCTGTATCATCTCTTTCTATATCTTCCCCCTGAGTATCCTTCCTGCTCTTTGTGTTCTGCCTCCCACGATCCCAAGGAGTTGCTAACATTTAGGGGGTAGGGGTGTAGCATGCCTGAATCTTCAGCTCACTCTTAGCTCCTCAAACCAGAATTTGTAGGATAGACGTGTGACTAGGAGAGCGGGACCCTAGATCTCAGGAGGAGGGTCCCATTTGTAGTAGGGAATCTCACAGGCCTGCCTCACCCTTTCCTTTTCTCTGCTTGAAGGCCATCACTGACCGGGGAATTTGTTCCTGGAGCTAAGGGTCCTTTCCCCTCTAGCTCCAAACTAGCAAGCCTTGTGAGGGCTCTCCTTTTTGGGTCTAGGGACAAGGCCGTAAGTATGTGGGACTCCCTTCCCTGGTGGCGCAGGGGACAAGAAACTGAGGGGTTGGACGCCAGCTCCTGGGAAAAGGGAGAAAGAAGGAAGAGATTGCAAATCCTGGCCTAGACCTTTCTGCCACCCCAGAAACTGAGGGACTTTGCAACCCATATCTGGGGTCTGCCAGAGAACCCGGTTCTTCAGCAGCCTGGACACCTACCAGTCTGGGTGGAGGGGGACACCAGTAAAGGAGAACCCTCCTTCTGCCCTGCCTTTGACTGACAGCCCCTGGCCAGATGTGCGGATTTAAAATCTTGGGTAGATCCTCTCTTCACTGGCTTCCTAAGGCCTTTCTTCCTGTTTTCCTGGAAGGAAACTTCCCACAGACCTGGCAGTTCAGACCTCATTATTGTGGATACCCCAATCTCATGGTCTGGGTCCAGGGTCAGCCTGAAGCACCCCCCTTCTTCTTCCAGAGATCCTGGGACCACTGCTCAGCACTCCCACCCCTGACCCTGATAGTTCAAACTCTGGGCTGAAAACGGCCCACCTGGTCCACCCCAGGGGTCTTGGTATAAGCAGGCTGGATTCTGTTCCCACAATCAGTTTCTCTTCCATTTTCCCCTCCAGATTTGGGGTTCTGAGAGGCCACAGGACTGGGAGCCACAAGGCCCTAATGGTCACTGTTAGGTTAGTTCAGGAACTGAACTGTCCCGTTCCCTGAGGACAAGCAACTCCCAGCCTTTCTGCTGCTCACCCTAGACCTACCAACCTAGCCTCTCAGAGCAGGGTCTGAAGAGAGAGGGGTCAAGGCCCTGTCAGGCCAGGGAATGGCTTGCGTGTCCAGGGAGACAAGAAAGAGCATGTGTTTCTCTGCCCACTCCCAGAGCCAGCACTTCCTCCCCAAGCCTTTCACCTCTTGGTCCTCTCTGTGCGATGAAAAAGGGCTCTCACGATCATGTCCAGAGGAGGGAATTTCTTAGCCAGACCTTTCCACAGTCAGGTCGTGTCAGGGAAGTTCCAATTCCAGTCCTGACCCCTGCTCATACTTTGGCCTGGAGCTGAGTGAGGCCTAGGGGAAGTTCGGGCAAGTGCTGGTAAATGCGCACAGCCGGTCTCTAAAATCCGCAACCCTGATGCATCCTCCGCAGAAACCTCTCCATCCTTCAGAGGTCCATCAGGTTCTGTCTGCGGTGCCCACCTTACAGGGAGTGCGGACCCACGATCTTGTCTTAGTCCCCAAAGCGCCTCTTGTCCACAAGCGACCAGGGAGTTAGCTGACAACTTTCCCGATTGCTCTGCCCGCTTTAGACAAACCCCCTGCGCTCCCGGTCTCGCGAAAGAGCTGAGCGCCCTCTGGGTCAGACCATGCCGCAGTGGGGCCGCGTCTGGGACCGAGGGCCCGTTTAAGGCCCTTCTCCTAGGGCGGGTGGAAGGCCTGCGACCTCCCCCTCCCTCGGGCCCAGGGGATTGGGCGCCGACACTTTACTTACTCGTACCTTTCCTTGGCCTCAGCTGCCCGGTCGCGCTGCCGCCGGTTCTTGAACCAGTTGCTGACCTGCGTGGTGGTGAGGCCCGTGGCCTCCGCCAGCTCGCGCTTCTCGCGGGGTGAGGGGTAGGGGTTGTGCGCGTACCACTCGCGCAGCACGCTGCGGCTCTTCTCCTTGAAGCAGTAGCTGGTCTCCTCGCCGTCCCAGATGGACCGCGGCAGTGGGAACTTGCGGCGCACGCGGTATTTGCCCACGGCGCCCAGGGGCCGGCCGCGCAGCTTCTCCGCCTCGATGTAGTGCGCCTTGAGCCACAGCTGCTGCAGCTTGGCGTGGTTGTGCGGCGAGAACTGGTGGCTCTCCAGGATCTTGTAGAGCTCGCGGAAGTTGCCGCGGTGGAAGGCCACCACGGCCTTGGCCTTGAGCACGCTTTCATTCTTGTGGAGGTGCTCGCAGGCCGGCAGCGACCACAAGAAACGACCCAGTCGCTCGATGTTGCCGCCCTGCTGCAGCACCTCGCACACGCACGCCACTTGCTCCTGGGTGAAGCCGAAGGTGGGCAGCATGGACATGGTGCCGGCTGGGCCCCCGCCCGCCCGCGCGCGCCCTCACCGAGCTTCGCGGTCCGGCATGGGCGCCTCCCCGCCGGGCCGTCCGGGGCCGAGAGGCGGGCGGGGCGGGCCCCCTGGCCCGGCGCTGGCTCCCGGCGATCTCCGAGTCACTGCCGTGGGTTCCCGAGCGGCCCGCGGGCCCCGCGCCGCTCCGCGCCCCCGCCGCCCGCGCGCCTCGCCCGCGCCCTCGTCCAAGCCCAGGGGCCGCCTGGGGCGCCGCTCCGCATGCTCCGCGCCCGCGCGTCCGCCGCTCCCTCGCTAGCTGCTCGCTCGCTCTCCCTCCCGTCTAGCTCGCTTGCTGCTTTTTTAATAATATTATTCTAAGCGGGCATGAGGCGCGGCGGCCCGCGCCCTGATTGGTCTGGTTATCTGACCCGGGGCCTGCCCGCGCCAGACAATAGTCGGAGTCAAATTATTCGCCATGGAGACGCTGTCAGTCACTGGTAACTCGAGCCCCGGCGGGCCGGGCGGCTCCCCCCTGGCCGGCTCCGCTGACAGATCGCCCGGCTCCGCGCAAAGCGGAGGGCGGCCCGAGACGGGAGCCGGAGGCGCTCCGAGAGCCTGGGAGGCGGAGAGGGCCGGGCGGGGGCCGGCGGCGGCGGTGATTGACGGGGCGGACGCCCAAAGAGCCCGGGAGGAGCAGGACTCGGAGGGGGTGGGGGGAGTGGAGACGCGCGGGGAAGAGAAGGGGAGGGTCGAGGTGGGGAGGAAAGAGAGGCGCTGGCGGAGGACTGTTTAAGGGGGTGCCAGGAGGAAGGGGAGGGGGAGCAGGGGGGGGACCATCGAGGGGCAGAAACTTTGAGCAGCTTCTCGCCTGGAGCCACGCTGCCCTGCCCCCACCCCCGGGCACTGCTCCCCTCCAGGGGCCGCTGCTTGAGGGGTAGGTGCTTTCGGGGAGACGGCCAGTGGGGTGGGACAGTTTGCAAGCGCCCGGGAGCCGCTCGAAGTCGGTTTTTCCTGCTGTCAGCGCCCCACCCCCATCCTAGAACGCCGGACCCGCGCGCTCGGTCCTCGAGGGACAGGGGGCGGGAGAGGGAAAGAGAAGTTGGCAGTGGCCTCGGGCGGACGCCTGAGAATCGACTTCTTGGAGGATCCCGCCTTTTCTTCCTCTCCGAACCCGGCCGGCTGCCCCGCGGCCAGTCCCGCCCCGACTCGGAGCTCCCGGCTCCTCCCGGGCGGGGACTCAGACTTAACCCCGCGGGCCCCACGGCCCAGACGCGCGGCGCTTCCGCGTGGCCTCCGGGGCTTGGCTCGGTCCGGCAGGGGCGACTCAGACCCCGGGGCCGCGCGCTCCGGCCGTCCGCCCGCGGAGGGCGGGCGGGGGCGAGGGCGCGGGGAATCCGGGCTGTCCCGGAGCTTCCCCTTTGGGTGGTCGGGTGGGACGGAATGGAGGTCACTCCCCCCATCTCCCTCCTCCTCCCGACCACCCCCTCCCCCCAGCTCGAACTCGGCTCTGGCCAAGTCCAGCTCTGGAAGCGGGTTGCTGAGTCCCGGAAAGAGAGGCTTTAAAAGGGAGTCGTGTTTTTGCTTCTTTGTCAAGGTGCGTGTGGAAACACGTGGTGCTGGTCCTCTGGGAGCCGGGCAGGCGGAGGAGGTGAGCGCGCTGGGGATGGAGAGGAGGGATGTGGCTGCTGTTTCTATGGTTCTGAAAAGCCGGGGGCTTATCTCCTTCCCTGGCTTGTCCTTTCCACTTTGCTTGGCCAGAGCTGACCCCCTCCCAGGGCCAGGACCCAAACCAGGACGGAGCTCTGGCTCCACCCTCCTCCTAGGGCTCTGGAGCGTGAGTTTAGGCCAAGCTTTCTTGGTAATTTGTTCTAGGAGCACTGGAATGGGAGTCCAGAGCCCTGGGTTCAAGTTTCCTTATTATCGAAGGAAAGGCTGGTACGTATTCCTCTAAGTGTCTGTTTCCTTAGCAAGATTTTCAAAAGTTTCCCCCCTGCTCTATTATTTTTATTCTCCGAAGGTGTCAGAGGCATGAAAGACTGTAATCTTGTACTCACCCTTATGTTTGCTCCTGGGGGGCCTGCCCTGGTATGTTGAGGTCACAAAACTGTCAAGGTAGGTTCTGAGCCAGTGCCAGGGCTAGCTCTCTGCAGAAATTCAGGGGGCATCTGTGGAGTCTGCCTCTGAGGACTGGGATGAGCCTCCCTGCCTCCAGGCTGCTCTATCCAGAGTCCTGTGTGCTGCTGCACAGGGATTGCCCCAGAGTTGGGCTTTGAGGACTCTGAGAGGCAGGGGGAAGAATTTACCCCTGGCTGCCCCAAGGGTCAGAGCCCACCTTGCTGACCCGCAATAAAGGGCAGCACACCCTTTCCAAGACCTCATTTCAGTTCCATGATTAATGACTGGCAGACTGGCCCATCACTGACCATGGCCATCTTACATCTTGATGTGACCAGACTGGGGGTGGGGTGCCCTGCTCAGCTGGGGTGAGTGGGACTGGGTAGTAACTTCCTAGAGTGAACTTTAGGGTAGTTTATGGCCTGCTTTGGCTCATTCTCTCCCACTGTTAGATGAGGCTTGTGTCATCTTTCTGGTTCTGGGTTGGAGTGGGTCTAAAGAATACTAATCTTGAAAAAGTGGGTAATCTTTGCAACCTCAGCCACAGCCTTCACAGAGAAGATGCCCATCCCTTGACCCTTGGAGCCTCAGGATGAAATTTTCCGCAGGTCTGTGTTCTGCCCATGCATGTTCAGCTAAGATAGATTTTCTGGAACTTTTCTAGTCCCAGGCTCAATGTCCCTTCTAGCATTGCTTTCTTTGGGGGCACTAAGCCTGAGTCAGCCCTGCCAGAAAACAGATTTGGGACCTGCCGCTTTGGATAATTTAGTGTGCGCCAATGGAAAGTCATTATAGAGCAGCACAGAACCCATAACACCATTACCCAGTGTATGGGTGTGTGTCCATGGGCACTGGTTATCGCCTCCCCACCCCCACCATACTTGCAGGAAACTGGTTCTAGCATGTCTGGGCTAGAACCACTTACCAGCAGTGGCAGCTGAGTGTCTGCCCAAAAAAGGCTACAAGTTGAGCTGGGGTCTCCTCACATTTTGCAGCCCCTCCCTGCCTAGCTCTCTCCCTGACAACCTTTGTCACAGAGCATAGCACTTGGGAAGTATCTGGATGAAGATTGGTTAGATGCCAGCCTGACTCTAAAACAGTCTCAGCACCGCCTCCCTTCTAGTACTCAGAGCAGCGGCACCGGAGCCCTCAGGGTGCCACACACCTCACAACTCGGTTCTATCCCACCCCAATCTGAGGAATCCTGAACTCCTTTCTCCCCTAAGACATGCTGAGAAGGGCTGCATTTCCCGCTTCATCAAGCACAGATAAGAGAAGTCCTATGACTAACAGATGAAAACTTCTGGAGACTGAAATTTGGGGTTTCAATGCAATGTCTCCTTTCACCTCCAACGTGCCTTGGAAATCCCCTAGGATCAGACTTTCTGGACCAGCAGAGGGGTCGATGGCTGTGCCCCGATGCGCTCACCCCGGGAGAATGCTGTTGCCCCTGACTCTTGGTCGGGGGACAGTCTAGGGCCTTTGTCTTGGAGTTGGGCCGGAAGCTCACCAGAGCAAAGCCTGAGGGCCCCCTACACACCAGCACCCATTGCGCAGCCCAGAGCTGGTGCGTCTCCCACAGCGGAGCTTTTGAGGAAAAGGAGAAAATAGCCACACCAGCCTCCCAAGGGCTTACCAGATTTGAGTTGGGGCCATTTCAGAAAGATGAGGTGATCCAAGGAGAAGGAGCTGCTTGAAAGGGGGTGGAGGCTTGGTGCTAAACCAGAGGACCAGAAGCTTTAAAAGCAAACAAACATACAAAAAAACCCCTTTACTTTTCCAGCCTATATAAATTCTGCAGCCGTCCCCTGGGGAGACTGACCCTGGCGCCTCCGGCCTCAGGTCCTCCCCGCGGTTCGGCATCTCGGGCTCAGGGCTCTCTGGGCATCTAGGCCCTGGGGTTGGGAAGGTAGGGGGCGTCTTCCCTTTCCCAGCTCCAGACTGGGGAACCCAGGGTGGGGCCGCACTCTAGCCCCGACCGGGTATCCAGCTATGGGCTCCTGTGGCGCGTTTCGTTGAATGCGGGCAAGCTGGCAAGCTGGCAAGCGGCGCAGGGCGGGTGAGGGCGGAGGCTCCCAGCCTCCCCACCTGCCCTGCCGCCTGCCCCCAGCGCACCCGCCGGTGCAGTTTCCCTTGGCGGAAACAGCGGGGTATCTATAAACCCCTGCACCCCACGGTTTTCTGCATTGCCCAATGTTTGGGGTGGGGATCAAGGCGCGGGAATTCTGCTCCCGTGAATTTTCCGTTTCCGAAAATGGGTCCCCCGGCGCGCCAAGCTAAGGCCAGGCTGTGGGGCCCGGTGCTCCGGGGGGCTGCGCTCCTGAAGCGGCTCGTCGCCCGCGCCGCACGTGGCTGGCACGGTCTTGGATCGGAAGGGCCGCGTCGGGGACCCCGGGGGCACGGCTGCCCCTCCTGCCGCCGGGCCTCTTGCTCCCGACTGCCGCGGCGGCCTGGAGGGGCAAACGAGAAAACGGTTTGGAGGCCGTGGGCTCACGGGGGATGTTGCTCAAACGAAAACAGCGAGCTCGAGGGCCCGGGACCTTTTTGGAAGCCATCGAACCGGCGAATCGACCCGAGGCGGCGCCGGGGCCGAGCGAGACTGGAGCCGGGTACGCAGGCCCCGGGCGCAGCCACCCCCGGGAGACGCCCCGCAGGACGCGCGCCCTCGCGTCTCCGCCCGCCGCCCGGCTCGGGCCCGGCGCCCCAGCTCCTCGCGCCGCGCTCCCGCTGAGTTTGCCAGGACCTGGGGGCCCTTCGCCGAGGGGGTCACGACGCGTTGGGCCGGGCATCGGGCGATCGACTCTCGGCTTTGGGTTGGGGAAGCCGCCCAAGTCCGCCGCGGGGTTTTCAGGCGGGGCGGAGGAGACCTGTGCGCCCCAAACCCTCAATGACAGGCTTGC